GTCTCAGTCTTTCCTTGGTTTTCATGACCTTGAAACTTTTGAAGAGTCCAGGTCAGGTTTTTGTTGAATATTCCTCAGTTTGGGATTGACCGATGAGTTTTCATGATTAGACCAAAATTATGCATTTGAGGGAAGAATTTTTTTTTTTTTTTTTTTTTTTTTTTTTTTTTTTTTTTTTACATATTTTAATGATTTTTTTTTTTTTTTTTTTTTTTTTTTTTTTACCCCCCTCCCTCCCTCCCCCATAGCCCCTCCTGAGGGAAGAATTTTTTAAAATATCAATTATACGTGTGTGTGTGTGTGTGTGTGTGTGTGTGTGTATTAATGTGACTAGACATCCTGCTTTTGGCGGGACAGCCTCGATTTTTAACAATTTGTCCTGTGTCCTGTGACGTTTTAAAAAAGTCCCGATTTTTGGAAAGAAGCTTTCCTGCAGGGGTCAGGCCTAACAGGGAATTAGGCCTAAGCTGGCAGTCAGACATCCCTCTCGCAGTCTGGGGCTCTTGCAGTCCAGGACCCTTCACTCCATACAGGCCACCTGTAGCAGAGGTGGGAGAGGCTTCCGCCACCACCCATACTCTCTCCAGCCATGAGCCTGGCCTCTGGCTGAGTGGCGCTCCCCCTGTGGGAGTGCACTGAACATCAGGGGGCAATCCTGTGTTGAGTGTCTGCCCCCTGGTGGTCAGTGCGTATCATAGCGACTGGACGTTCTGCTGTTCGGTCAATTTGCATATTACCCTTTTATTATATAGAATGTTACATTCTATTTAGCCATTCCCCTACTGGTTGGCATTTAGGTTAATTCCAAATTATTTTTATTAGCAATATTGTGGAATTATCTTTTTGCATACCTCCATATGTGCATGGAGTTATGGTAGATAATTAGAAGGGGCATTGCTGAGATATGGATTTAATACATGTCCAATTGCCCTATAAAGTGGCTATGCCAATTTACGTTCTTTTGTTATTATGGAACTTGAAAATTGTTGCCAATCTCAGTTTTAATTTCTATTTCCCTGGTTACTACTGAGGTTGGGCATCTTTTGTATATTTATCTGGCAATTTGTATTTTCTTTTCTGTGATTGCCTATTTATATTCTTTGCACATTTTTCTAATGTTTTTTTTCCCCTTATTGATTTGTTAAAAGTCCTTTAGATGTTCTTAATACAAATTCTTTGCTTTATATATTGCAAATGTTTTTTTCCTAGTCTGTTATCTTTGTTTCTTATGTTAAATTTTCTCATTTTTTGAGTTATTCCATTTATCTGACATTTTAAATAATTTTTTCTGAAAAAAAGTTATTGATTATAAAAGCAATATAAACAACACAGATAATTTGGGAAATTAAGGAAAAAGTATAATTAGAAAGGAAACCACCTCAAATCTTGTCACTGAGAAAAAAACCTCATTATTAACCCATTCAGTTTCATTCTAGTCTTTTTTGCATATGCACATGTACATTTTGTTTTGTTTTGTGTTTTGTTAATCCTTACTGAGGATATTTTTCCATTGGAGGGGCGGGGGGGAAAGAGAGTGGAAGAGAGGGGGAGAGACACATACAGGGAGAGAAACATCAATATGTGAGAGATATATCGATTGGTTGCCTCCCACCCATGCCCTGACCCTTTGGTCCATGGGAAAATTCTCTATCCACTGAACCAAAGTGGCTTGGACTGTGCATGTACAGTTTTTGCTCAATTGAGATCACATTACGTGGACAAACACACACACACACACACACACACGAACACACAATTTGCTCAGCGCAATGGTCTTTAGACACAAATGCTGGTCTTTTTCCAAATGTACTTTGGTTGTGGTGGTTTTAGACTAACTTCCAACTTCTGTTCTTTCTTTCCACATATCCTAAAATATGTAGTAAGTGGGAGGTCCAAGGCCTGTCCTCAGCTGACCTGAAGTTGGCTCAAAAACTCAAGGGAGGATAGAAATGCTCCAACAAAGCACATATTTAAAAATCTTGGAGGTTTTAGTTGACTGCAAGCTCAGTGAGTCAATAGCAGGTGCCAAGTACTTTACTGTGTGAATGTGAGGCAGTAAGTCTTACGAGGAAGCTACAGTCTTTCTTTGCTCTGATGGTACCACAGACATTTGGTTCAGTCTTGGGTGACATACTCTCAAAGAGCCACAAACAGACCAGGTGTATGAGGAGCATGAGGATAAAGACCTTTAAAACTAGAGCAAAGGAGAAACAATGGGAGGAGTGGAAGATACTGGTCTGGAATAAGACATTGAGCAGAAGTCTTCAAGTATCTGAAAAGTAGAAGGTCAAGAGAGATTAGATCTGTTTGTTTTCTGGACCAGAGGGTGGAAATTTTGAAAACACTTTTAAACTGGTCAGAACTGCCGAGGCCAAGGAATGCATTACTCTGGAAGTAGTGGGCTTTGTGTCCTTAAGAAGTCTTTTTGCAGATGCAAATCGGTGGCGGATGAGTAGTAGGGAGGTCAATATTAAAAAAATAAAATAAATAAATATATATATATATATATATATTTTATTGATTTTTTACAGATTCTGTTTTTAACTTTTTAAAATATATTTTATTGATTTTTTACAGAGAGGAAGGGAGAGGGATAGAGAGTTAGAAACGTCAATGAGAGAGAATCATTGACCAGCTGCCTCCTGCACACTCCCCACTGGGGATGTGTCTGCAACCAAGGTACATGCCCTTGACCGGAATCGAACCTGGGACCCCTCAGTCCGCAGATCGACGCTCTATCCACTGAGCCAAACCGGTTTCGGCTCTGTTTTTAATTTTTAAGGAACCTCCATATTGTTTTCTGTAGTGCTTGCATCAATTTACCATCCTGACAGAGCATGAGGGTTCCCTTTTCTCCACATCCTCACCACCATTTGTTTGTTGAGGTGTGAGTTGATATCTCATTAAGGTTTTAATTTGCATTTCCCCCCTGATTAGTTGTGTTGAACCTATATGATCAATTAATCTATGACAAAGAAGGCAAGAATATACAGTGGGTTAAAGACAGTCTCTTCAGTACATGGTATTGGGAAAACTGGACAGACACATGCAAAAGAATCAATCTGGACAACTTCCTTATATCATATACAAGAATAAACTCAAAATGGATTAATGACTTAAATGTTAACACCTGAAACTATAAAACAACTAAAAGAAAACATTGGTAGTAAACTCTTTGACATTACTCTTAGAAATATTTTTTTGGATATGTCTTCTTCCACAAGGGAAACAAAAGAAAAACGAAACAAATGGGATTACATGAAACTAAAGAGTTTTTGCACAGTGAAAGAAATTATCAATGAAATGAAAAGACAATCTACTGAATGGAAGAAGAAATTTGCAGTGATAACACCCACTAAGGGGTTAATATTTACCAATTATCCAATAAGCTATAAGAAACTCATATAACTTCAACACCAAAAGAACCAAACTATTTGATTTTTTTAAAAAAAGTGAGCAGAGTCCTGGCTTGTGTGGTTCACTGGTTGAGCATTGACCTTTGAACCAGGAGGTCACGGGTTCATATTCCCCCTCTGGGCACATACCAGGGTTGCAGGCTCCATCCCCAGTGGGTGGGGCTTGGAGGAGGCAGCTGGTCAATGATTTTCTCTCATCATTGACATTTCTCTCTCTCCCTCTTCCTCTCTGAAATCAATAAAAATATATTTTTAAAAAAGAACAAAAACAAACAAAAAAGAACAGAGGATCTGAACAAACCTTTCTCCAAAGAGGACATACAGATGGCCACTAGGTATATAAAAAGATTCTCAACTTTCCACTGTTATCTTATTTCATCCAGCCAACACCCTATGAGGTAAGTACCATTGTTATCTGTCCCTGTATTATAGGTGAGGGAATCGGGTATAGTGAGGTGAGGTAATCCTCCCAACGTCATTTGTAAGTGGTAGAACATGGATTCCAACCCGCTCTGACACCTTCCAAAGCCGGTACTTTTTGGTCATCATTGGATTCAGGCCTGATATGGAGGTCTGGACCCTTAGGGCCTTGAGGTCCAAGATTCTATATATAGCTGGGGGAAAAAGTAAGACCCCTCCTCTAAGGGAAAGGCTCCGAGTGTAGGCAGAGAAGCAGGAGGTAGTCCCAGGTGGCATTGGATAAGGGATGTAAGCTTAAAGGACATGGAGGAGCAGTCAATGTGCGTCACCCCCACAGCTCGGCCACAACCGCTTGTCCTGTCGTTTAAAGATGCCTAGACCGTTCCTCCCCACCCCCCCCTACCCCCCCAAGGGACGGAGGCACAGTTCCGCAACGGCGACGTCGCGCGGCCAGGGAGCGTTGCGGCAGCGTGGTTCTGCGGCGGAGGTGGGGATCGGAATAACCCGCCGGTCCCTGGGCCAGGAGCGAGCTGGGGGCGGGGCGAGGGGCGGGGCCGCGGCCGCGGGGTTAAGGAGGGCGCGCGCCCCGGGGGCTGCGGCAGTTGCGCGCTAGGATTGCAACCGGGCGGCGAGACGGACGGTGAGTGCGGCGGGCCCCGCGGGCGGGAGGGGCGGGAGCGGGCGAGCGAACGAGGGAGTGAGGGAGCGAGCGAGCTAAGGAGGAAGGAGTGTGGCCCGTCTCCGAGCGCGTGGCCCGTCTCCGAGCCGCCGCCGGCCCCTCAGGCCCCACTCTCCACGCCCGAGCGCCCACCCGCGGGCCGTGTGGCCCGGGCACCCGCGTCTCCGCTGGCCCCTTCGCTGCGTGCGAGTCGCCCCTACCTCAGCGTAGCCCCCTCCTCCGCGTCGCCCCTTCCTCCTCGCCGCGGCGACGCCCCCAGCCTCACGTCACGCCCGCGCCATTGTTTCTCCGAGGCCGACGGGCTCGGACCCGTCTCGGCCTCGGAGCGCGCGGCCCTTCGCCTCCTGTTAGCCTTCCTCTGTGCGCCCTGTTGTCCCGCTTTTCTTTCAGGGTGATGGCAGTCCCCATCCCTCCTCACAGAGACTCCTCTTTCCTCAGGTCTGCCTGGTTTTTTGTGTTTTGTTTTTTTTCCTGGCCGCCGCCGGGCGTCCTCCCGTCCGCGCCCGGGGCCAGCCTTTCCGGCCTCCGGCCCGGACTTCCCGCCCCGCGCGCGCTCCCGGGGGACCCGAGAAGCTCGCGAACGGAGGCTCCGGGAGGGTGCTAGGTTGGACGAGGCGTTTTAGAAAGAGCCGCAAAAGTTGGTTTTGTCGTTCGCGGCACTTCCTGGAAAACTTCACGTCGAGTAGGCAAGCCTCCATAGAAACAGGCTTCTTTTCGAAGGTTCCCAAGTCGGGGGCCAGCTGGCCCGTGGCGGCCTATTCCTTCCCTTCCCGGAGACACCCCGGGAGCCCAGAGCCGAGAGCCGAGAGCGAGACGGCAGATCTGAGGCCTGGACCATTATTTGTTAAGAGCGTTTTGGGGTTTTTGACTCCAGTCAGTAGGCCTCAAGCTTTTTGAAAGCTGTAGGTAGAGCTGGCGTCAGATTTATTTCCGGTCTCCCCTTCCCCCCCACCCTTTAGTCTTTGGGCGGTTGTGTTGGAGAGTTGCGAAGGGCAGTGCTCTGCAATGACTAGTCACTATTTTAGGGTGTGTGTGTGTACGTGTGTGTCGTGGTGCGGACAGGTTCTTCATGTCTGTACACGAGTTTGTCTCTTAAGGCAACGATTGCAAACGCTGCTAGCTCTAATGCGAAAGAGAAAATGTTGAAACGGTGCCCTTTACCGTGGCAACATAATATTGTTGAGGTTTTTTAAATATTTACCATCACACTGCAACGATAGATTTCTCCTAATGAAGGCATCCAGGCCTGGAGAGGTTAATGAAGACACAGCTAGTTAGCAATTAGAATAAACTCAACGTGCTAGGCAGATAGTAGCACACACATACTAAAATGCATTATTTAATTTAATTTATGAGAGAGGACAACCGGGGAGAGGGGAAGTTGAGAAACTTATATTTGTTGTTCCACCTATCCATGCACTCATTGGTTGATTCCTGAGTGTGCCCTTGATCAGAAATGGAACCCGCAACCTTGGCATATGGGGAGTGGTACCTACAACCTTGGCATATGGGGAGGATGCTCTAGACAGCTGAGCTGTCAGGCCAGGGCCAAAATGCATTTCTGTTGCAATGTAAGCCACTACATTTCATTGCATTGCTTTATAATCCTCATTAATCCAGAAGTTTGACTTTAGAAGTTAATAATCTTAAAGTAAGAAGGCTGAAGGAGATGTTCTGCAAGGTTTCATTCAGTTCTAAGATTTAATTCCATTATATGAAAGTTTATAATCAGCTGCAAGTTCCCAAAACTTTATAATTGTAGGAAGATTTACAAAGATACTATTTACTTACAGTATCTGCAAGCCTAATTATAGTGATAGCAGGTGTATAAAGCTAAAGAAAGCCAAGTTACAGTGAAATGTTAGGAGGAGTAATGATCTGTAGGTTATTTCCAATAGTGTTATGGTGAAAGAAAGCACACAAAACCTGAGGTGTGTTCTTAATGTTTTTTTTTGTTGCTTAACTCATCTAAAAGCTTAATTCACTGAAATAGTTAAGCAACTTTGTTATAAATTATACTCTTCCTGTTTATCTAAACATAGTTTTTGTGCAATTATAATTGCTACATTCATATCATTGTTAATTTAGCACTTACCCATATTTCTGGGATGCCCATGTATCTAGAAAATTTATCTCTTATTTGTATAAAGGCTTGTAGCAAGCTTTTATGTCTAAAAGTCAACAATGCCTGGCATATAGGCTCTCAATTTTTGTTGAATGAATGTAGTATTTTGAGCTGTTTAGACATCTATGAACACAATGTTAAGTAGCACAGGGAATATGTTAAGTGACATGTGAGTAGTAAATGTAGGAGATAGCATCAGAAATGATTCAGGGCATGGATTTTGGAATCCAGGTTTGAGATCCGTCTTGTCATTTAACATGCATGCAACCTTGGAGGACTTAACCTTAGCTAATCTTATTCAGTTTCTCTTACCATGAAAACGGGAAATATAGAACAAACTTCACAGGGTTTTATATATTAACCGGGATAATTCCATTGAAGCAATACTGGCATACATTAAATTCTCTATACATGTTAGCTATTACTATTTTTTGGTACAGAGTGGAGAGATTATTGTAGGTTGGTAGAATCAGGGAGAACATACAGAAGGTGGCACATGAGAGTAAGGAGAAGATTCAAAAGAGATATTGCGGGGTTAATGATAAAGGATTTGGTATAGTAATAGTATGATAGAGCTGGTTAGAGAAATTTTGGTAAACTGTTTACAAGATATTCTGTCTACATGAATTTCTTGCATTTAGAGCAGAATTAATGAAGTAAGATAACACTTTTTGTGAATAGTTGGTTTTTTGTGTGGCTGTGTGTGTGTGTGTGTGTGTGTTATCCATTCAGGCCTAAAAAAGTTTAGATTTAAGGAAGTTGATAGCAAATTATTGCGGAGTGATAAGGTCCTCGTCACTTGACACAACCATTTGAAATTTGATTGTGTTCTTTGATTGGTTACCTGAGTTTGCAGTGGCTGTTTTTTCTATTTTGTGGAAAACAACTGGAGCAGCAAACCAATAAAAATAACAAAATTGCCAACAGAGTAGCAAAGCTACCCCTTTTTTAGTCAGAATACAGAATCAAAAGGATTAGATTAATTTGGAGAGTGTTGAACTATTTGTTCCTGCATTTTGTTGGTATTTCTTAGTTGGGAAGCATTATTAAGAAGGTGAGATGAAAAAATGTGCTGTCAGGGTCAGTTTGTAAAGAGAAGACTGTATATGTATCAGTAAGTTTAAATTTGTTGGGTATGTTTCCATTTCAGATGTTAAGTGGAATATTTTTTTTAAGTTTCTTGGTCATTTTAATGAGGTTTCTCTAATGTTTTAATTTATTTTATTTTATTTTATTTTATCTGTTTTGCGGGGTGGGATCAAACTTTTATTGAGGGCATTTAGATGATGGTCGGAGGGCTAGGAGGACAATGAGATAGAAGTCCTCAGCCTCTCCCTGTCTCCCCAGCTTCACAGCCACCAAAAAGTTAAAGTTTAAAAAAAATATATGAAATATTTCAAACATAGAAAATAATGTAATGTTAGTATAATTATAGACCATCATATTTATTTACTTCCTTTTTTATTTTTTTATCGAATTTATTGGGGTGACACTGGTTAACAAAATTAAACAGGTTTCAGGTGCACAAATCTACAACACACCATATGTACACTACATTGTGTGTTTACCACCCCAAGTCAAGTTTCCGTCCATTACCATTTATTCCCCCTATATACTCCCTCCCCCCCATATATTTCCCCTGCTCCTCATTCCCCCAGCAGTCACCACATTGTTCATGTTCGTGAGGTTTCTCTCCCTCTGCATTTAAAAAAATGTTTTATTGATTTTCTCACAGAGAGGAAGGGAGAGGGATAGAAAATTAGAAACATCGATGAAAGAGAAACATCAATCAGCTGCCTCCTGCACAACTCCCACTGGGGATGTACCCACAACCAAGGTACATGCCCTTGACTGGAATTGAACCTGGGACCCTTCAGTCCGCAGGCTGACGCTCTATCTAGTCAGGGCACCCTCTGCATTTTTTGTTCAGTCCTCCTACCCCTCCCACCATCATATTTAGTTTATTTAGTTTATGGGTTATTTCCCCCCTCCTCCCATTTCCTAATTGTGGGAAGGGATTTACATATATATTAGTATATGAGAGGAAGGGAGAGGGATAGAGAGTTAGAAACATCTGATCAGCTGCCTCCTGCACACCCCCTACTGGGGATGTGCCCACAACCAAGGTACATGCCCTTGACTGGAATTGAACCTGGGACCTTTCAGTCTGCAGGCTGGCACTCTATCAGTTGAGCCAAACCAGTTTTGGCGGATTTATATTTATTTTTTAAGGCCGACGCTCTATCCGTTGAGCCAAACCAGTTTCGGCGGGATTTATATTTATTTTTTAAAGGGATAACATTACAGATCAGTTGAGCCTGTATGAATCTTTGCTATCCTGTTTTCTTCTCTTGCCCTCTCCTAGCAGTAAACAGCCATGAATTTCAGGAATTATAATTCCCATAGTATGTACTCCGAGTGGCCAGATTATTATGATCTCTGAATGCATAATCTGGCAATTCTGTGTGTGTGTGTGTGTGTGTGTGTGTGTGTGTGTGTGTGTGTGTATAGAGGCCTGGTGCATGAATTCGTGCATGGGTGAGGTCCTGGACAGCCTGGCCAGGAGGAAAGGACATGGGGTTGGCCTGCCTGCTTGCTGGTCCAACTTCTGGTCAAGGGGACAATTTGCATATTAGCCTTTTAGGATATCTACTGAGTGGCCAGATTATTATACATTCAGAGATCATAATAATCTGGCCACTCAGTGTATATACAGTATCTATAAAAGTGCATATATTCTTATTTAATATACGTATGATTCTGCAAATTGCTTTTTTGTTTAATGATGTTTTTGATATATATCTACGTTGATAGATGTATTTTTAGTTCATTCATTTTTATTTGCTCTATAATAATCCATTATATGTATAAATCAGTTTTTTATGGATATTTAGGTATTCCCAACTTTTTTTTTCTTTTCTGTCATTAATAGTGCTGTAATAAACATTCTTGGCTTGTCATCTTGTTTACATGTGTGAGAGAGAATTCTACACCTAGGACAGAATTGACTAATGAGTTTGACCACTGGGATAGGGGCTTAATCACAAGGAACAACAAGAGCCTGTAATTATTGGAATTGAGGGTCTACGTTGGTGGTCGGCAAACTCATTAGTCAATAGAGCTGCAAATGTGGCTTGTGAGCCGTAGTTTGCTGACCACTGACCTAGGGAATTCTTAGGTGTAGGGTAAAAGGATTCTCAACTTTATTACATAATGATAAATTGTTTTCCAAAATACTAAATACAAAATTCTCAGGTTGCCAGAGTACCATTTTACCATGTCCTTTACATTGATATTGTCAGACTTTTAAAAACAAAATTAAATTTCATTTTAATTTGTTAATTGGTTATAAGTAGGTTGAACTTCTTTGCGTTCATTTATTTTAAGGTGTATTTTTCTGCAAATTGCTGTTTATATCCATTCTTTTTTTCTGTTGGCTTGTTTGCTTTTCTGTCATTGGTTTGTAG